TGAAGTCATTTCACGCTTCAATGAATCCCGGCTAGCCGGGATCATTTAAACATCCTCATAAACTACTAGTGAGCATGCAATTTGGTAGTTTAAGTCGCGAGCGACCAAAGCAACTGTACACTGTGTTTTAGCTTATAGGTTTCATTGGCAACACTAAATTTTACATGTATTCCTGTTGTAATTGTTCTGCGTGCGAAAAAAATCTATAGCGCTATGAAGTGTCAAACGCTATGAAATATGTACAAAAACAGAAACTTTTTGCCGAAATAATCCCTTTACAAAATTTTTCATCTGAGCATTATTTCACTTTTGCGATATTTACGCTTCTCGAATATAGCCTTTACCATCATCTTTTGCTGAAATAATGGTAGAACTAATCTTCAATATTGGATGATGAAACTTTAGAACAAATGTCCAGGAAGTTACTTCTTCATTTCCCAATTTCAAGTATGGAAATCCAAAACCCTTTTCAATTTGCTAAGATATTGCTTGTTGGAAGTACAGTATGTGGTAAATCATCAACAATAAATCATTTGATGGATACTCGAGATGAATTTCCTTTGCTGAGACAAGTAATTATGAATCATCAACGAAAAAAACATCTGAGTATATCATTACTTTTCACAAACCAAGGTATGAAGTGAGCGATTAAGTTTTGAGTGTTATTGACACACCTGGCTTCAACGATGGTGATGGCGTTAAACAAGATGTGTGCAATTTTGTATCTGTTGTAAAATACTTTGAAACACATCCCAAATTTTCTTCTGAAAAAAAGATTTATCCAAATGTTGTTTTATACAGCTGATTGCAAAATTGGACAAATTTTTAACAGAGCATATTAGTTATAAAAGTTAAAGGTCTCATCCATTATTCCAGTCAAAAACGAAAATCAGGGAATTTCTTATTATTTAGAATAGTATCCTAAAATTCATTATGGAAGAGCTATACATCTCCAAAAACTCTTTGCCAGACTTTTCTCCTTTGGGCCAAGTAAAAATTGTTTTTAAGTCATACACAAACTTTATTATGACATGTGAGTCAGTACTTTCTGGTTTGCATTAATGGTGTATGGTGATTTAAGAACATTTTATTATTATCTTTAGATTTTGCACTGTAAGTCGTCCCATGCAATAAAATATTTTTATCATTCTTATACATGAAAAGTCATGAAGGAGAAGATTTCGTCTCATTATTGTTACGCGTCATGAAGTCTATTTTTAGATTTGACCAATCCTGTCCTCTTCCGACAAGTAGTCAGCCAAAATGTATTATGTCTTTTAGCTTTTTAACAGTTCTTTTAGAATTGATGATTTACTGTTCTCGTTTAAAAACTTCATTTAGAAATTATTACGTCATTATTTTGTCAATTCCCTCGATATTTCTTATCTTCAAAACAATTTTAAAGTGAAATATTCTACAACAGAAGTAAATTATTTGATCGGAGCATCATGAACAATAGTAAAGAATTCTGACATATTGAGCAATAGAACAGTTCTAAAGAGATGAATATGGCGATCTTTTAAAGTTTAAATAGCGTGACGAAATCTGTAGGCTATAATTATACCAACGTTGCTGGTTTCGTTTATTGCATTGAGATCGTAAATTGTTTTAAAATCAATATGAAAAGAAAGCTTCATACGTGCATAGTGTTACATGATAATACATAATCATGTAAATTATACTTATTGTTATATACTTAAATATATTAGTAGTTAACTAGTTAGTGATCTTTGTAAAATGCCTTACTCATACATGCATGTGTATGATAACCACAATAACAGGAAAAGCTTACGTATAGGACGTGGTCAACCTAATGACCACAGACAACGTACAGGACACATGGTTAATCAACTGACCACAGGTTACGCACAAGCGGTTAATCGTACGTCATTGTTCAATCACATATAAGCCGAGAATCGAAAGCTGTAGCTATGTTGGTGCTTAGTAGAAGTCCACATCAGAAGAAAGCCTCATGTAAAAGAAAACGAACTATTTACGAAGATAACCAAAGAATCCAGATATATATCCAATCCATCGACGAAAGAGTCCCTGAAAGTCTGAAAGCAGTTGTCTTAGATAAGTTTGAACATTTACACATTTATATTATAACGATTATATCAAAATTATTGGTATATTAAATAAATATCTTAAGAATTGACAAAAAACTTCTCCACATGGTTTTACTCCTTTTGTTACGAGCAATTGAACCAAAAGCGGCCTTTTTATTATTAGTCGGGACGCTTGTAACAAAATTGGGGCCCACCGGGAACGAACTCTTTCAAGTTATTCAATTGAGCAGAAGTCAAAACGAAAAGAAAATAGAATCCAAAACAAATCACGATCATTTCAACAACAATTATTAAAGTAAACTTGTGGACCAGTTGTTTCAACATGTCTGCATTTACACCAGAAGAGTTTATGGTGGAACCAACATATGATAATATTTTGAAATTAAGAAAAGATGATTTAAAAGCTTTAGGGAAATATCTTAAGGTCGAATTAAAAAGTTCAATGTCTAAACGCGAAATACAGCATGTAATTTTAAAAAGATTATGCAACGATAAACTCGTTGATGAAACAGTTTTAGAAAACCTAAGTATTTTCATGCAAAATACAAGAGGTGAAGTAGATAGCATTGCACAAACAGATGTTAGTCAGGATGAGTCGTACGAAAGACAATGGCAAAGAGAGGAAGAAGAAATAAGGTGGAGAATAGAACGCGAAAGACTTAAATGGGAGCGTGAATGTGCACGCGAAGAGAGAGCGTTTAAGTTAAGAGAACAGGAGATAGAAGTAGAAAAACTAAAACTTCAAGCCACAAATACACATGCCGAACATTCTAGAACAAATTTTGACATAACCAAGCATGTGAGAATGGTTCCACCGTTCCCGGAATCGGAAGTAGACAAGTGCTTTTTGCATTTTGAAAAAGTCGCCGAAAATTTTAAATGGCCTAAAGAAAGTTGGACCATGCTTTTACAAAGCGTTTTGATAGGAAAAGCAAGAGAAATTTTTTCTCAAATGTCTGTAATTGATTCTGCGGATGATGACCTAGTAAAAGATGCGATCCTGAAGGGTTATGAGTTGGTCCCCGAAGCCTACAGACAAAAATTTCGTGCTATTACCAAAAATATATCTATAACTCACTTAGAATTTGCTGAACAAAAAGCTCAACTCTTCGATCGATGGTTAGCTTCGGAAAAAGTCCAAGATTTTAAAACTTTACTGCAGTTAATTTTATTGGAAGAATTCAAAAATTGTATCCACTCTGAAACACGAATTTTCCTTAACGAGCAAAATCCTAAGACACTTAGTGAAGCGGCCCGTCTTGCTGATAATTTTTCGCTTACTCATAAATTTGCAGTTAAAACTAACCCACATCCGTTTTCACAAAGAAACACTCAAAACACACTTGATGGAAAACAAACACACTCGTCACGATTTTCATCGCGGTTTCCGAACAATTACGCACAAGGCAGACATAACTTAGGCCCGAGTTCAAACGTCGCATTTTACATGCGCCGAATCAAATGCGAGAATTATGTGCATGTAAAATGCAACGTTTGAATCAATTAAATTCGACGGATTTTAATTTAATGCGACTTTAGTCGCATATTCGATTGAGTTAGTCGAATATTCGACGGAAATTCGATGTTGATTCAAACGTCGCATTTTACATGAGCCGAATTTAATGCATAATTTATTTTAAGATATTTCTAAGCAAAAATCAATTATTTCCATGCTAAATGCCATGCGCAAAGTTGTAAAACATGGCGGCGGCGAGATGGTAATGGCCCTTGTATTTCGTGCACAAGTTTAACAAAATACACTTGTTTAAAGTGCAAAAATTTATATGTACAAGGAAAGTTTCCTCGAGATACACGAAATGTTTTTGAATCAGAATAAATACTCCAAACTTTCTTCCACCAGCCGGAATTTCTATCTTGTCTTCGACATGATCGATAAGGAGGGCTACGTATGAAGGCTTTTTGACCAATTAACGGTAGAAAACATGGGAAATTTGCAGAAGCTGCCGTCTCGTTTCTAATAGTTTATTTGCTGTAACATGCATCAATATTCATCTTTTCCTATTAACACGAATCAGATTTGAAATGCATAAACTCAACATTTTTCTGTTCGCCATTTTAGGAAATTAGAACAAGAAAATGAATAAACTATGAAAAAGTGGAAGCATAACTATAATAAATGCGACTATTAAATTCGACGTCTGAATCAAACTACGCATAAAACTATTTTAGTCGACTAAAACTCAGATTTGATTCGGCGCATGTAAAATGCGACGTTTGAACCGGGCCTTACAAGGCAACGGAAGTCAAACAAAACAAAATTTCCAAAGCATGCAATACCAAGGAAAGCAATATTCACCCGGTAATTCCCCATTTCGACAAGTAATTTGCGATTATTGCAAACGAAAAGGACACACAAAATCTGAATGTTATTTGTTGAAATCGAACAGACCACCAAGACCGACGGGAATTCTTTCAAGATCTGACCAAAATATAAACAATAAAAATAAATCTGTACACAAAATCACTCGTAAAAATGCACAGGAGAATCCGAACAAAGCATTACGCATGAAACACTACACCATAATATCACAACAACCAAGCACAAAGATTTCAGTGACAGTGATGGAAACTTTTAAACCTTTTATTCATGATGGTAATGTCACAATCAACTCCAACCGTCAACCAGTTTATGTTCCAATTAAAATACCCGAGATACAGGAGCTTCACAATCAGTAATATTGGGCAATACTTTGCCATTTTCCGAACAGTCATACTCAGGAAAGAATGTGTTAATTCGTGGCATAAGTTCCACTGAATACGAATCAATCCCCTACACAATATTAAATTGCAATCTGATCTTATAAAAGGTGATGTTGTGATAGGTGTTATCAACACTATGATGCTGCCTAGTAATAGATGGAATTCATCTATTACTAGGCAACGATTTGGCAGGAGAGAAGGTACAAGCAGGTCCCGTTTTAAGCAACAAACCAGTTTTCACACAACAATCCAACCTCACTGAGCAAGTAATCCCGGATTTATATCCTTCATGTGCAATAACAAGAGCTTTACAAAACGACAAGACGAAAGTCTCAAAACCACGGAAAATAATGACATGCAGATAGAAAACACGTTTCTTCACGATATTTTGAAAACGGAAAACCTTTAAAAATTAGCTTTATAGAGCAAGGCAGTATATCTAAGTCAGATCTTATCGAGACAACAAAATGACCCCAACATTTCAACACTTTATCACAAGGCTTCGGAAGAAGCAGATGTCAAAAGCGATCCCGTTTGTTATTATATTAGGAATGGTGTATTAATGAGGAAATGGCGACCACCACACACTTCGGTAAACGATGAATGGGCGTATCGATATCAGATAGTTGCACCTCAAGCATATCATCATGATATTCTTAGTCTAGCGCATGAAACCCCACTTTCAGGACATTTAGGGATTAATAAGACTTATAATAAAATCATTACACATTTTTATTGGCCAGGACTAAGGAAGGATGTTGCAGAGTTTTGTAAGACTTGCCATGTCTGTCAAGTAGTGGGTAAACCAAATCAAACTAATCCAAAAGCACCTCTACAGCCAATTCCAGCGTTTGAAGAACCGTTTAATCGAGTTCTCATTGATTGCAGGACCACTACCAAAACCAAAAGGGAAACGAATATCTATTAACTATTATGTGCGCTAACTGACTTCCAAAGTGACTCCTTTGCGAAATATTCGAGCTAAAACTATTGTACAAGCTTTGACCAAATTTTTTACGCTTGTTGGACTTCCAAAATCAATTCAGTCAGATCAAGGCTCAAATTTCATGTCTGGCTTATTCCAACAAGTTATGCATGAATTAAATATAACGCAATTCAAATCTAGTGCCTATCATCCGGAAACACAAGGAGCGTTAGAACGTTTTCATCAAACACTTAAAAATATGATTTGCATGTATTGTCAAGATAAAGAAAAGATTGGGATGAAGGTGTTCATTCTGTTTGCGGCAGGTGATTCTGTCCAAGAATCGTTAGGTTTCACCCCATTTGAACTTGTTTTTGGACACACGGTTAGAGGACCACTCAAACTTCAAGGAGAAACTCTTAACTGAGGAAAATAATCCAACGAATTTATTAACTTATGTTTCAGATTTCAGAAATAAGTTGACCACTTATGAAATTGCTCGAACAAACCTTGAATCAGCTCAAAATGTATGAAAGGAAAATACGATAAAAATTCAATTACGCGGAATTTCAAGGTTGGCGACAAAGTACTTGCGTTACTGAAAATACCAGGAACACCTCTTCAGGCTAGATATTATGGTCCGTATGTTATTGAGAAGAAAGTGAGTGATTTGAATTAAGTCATCATAACTGCAGATAGGCGTAAGAAAATCAACTATGCCATGTAACATATGTTAAAGCCTTATTTCGATAGAAAAAGAAAAGAAAGAGAATGGAAGTGTAGTGAGTAATGTATCTGAGGAAGAACTTTCAACTTTAACTGACACTGAAAGCTAAGCAACTCTGAAATCTTGAAGAATATTCCTTCCAAACTCACCCATCTTAATCCAACACAGAAAGCTGATATAGAAAATCTCCTCAACCAACATCTCGAGTTATTTCCTGATGTGCCCTCCGAGTCACCTTATTGTACATGATGTGGATGTAGCGATGCATTACCTATAAAACAACACCCATACCGTCTTAATCCTACAAAGAAAAATACCTCAATAAAGAAATCGACTATCTACTCGAGCACGATTTAATTGAACCCAGCCACAGCAGTTGGTGTTCACCGTGTATTTTGGTTCCCAAACCTGATGGCACTTATAGAATGTGCACGGATTATAGAAAAGTAAACACTGCTACTAAAACTGATACCTTTCCCATTCCACGTATGGATGATTGTGTTGACAAAATTGGTAATGCAAAGTTTGTTTCCCAATTCGATCTTCTAAAAGGATTTTGGCAGATACGATAGAGTGACAGAGCAAAGAAATATCTGCATTCGTTACACCCAGGGACTTTTCAGTATAAAGTCATGCCATTTGGTATGAAAAACTCTCTAGCGATATTCCAACGTTAGATTAATCACATCATAATGGACATCAAAGGATGTGAAGCGTATATTGATGATGTAATCATCTATAGTGATACATGGGAAGAACATCTGAAAATAATGCGGCTGTTTTTTCGAAGGTTATGTGAGGCTCGTCTCACCATCAATCTTGCGAAAAGCGAATTTGGATGTGGTCACGTGACATATCTTGGACATGTAGTCGGACAAAGTCAAGTAAAACCAGTCATTGCTAAGGTCGAAGCGATCTCCAAATTTCCTCAGCCTACTTCAAAGAAACACTTAATGCGTTTTCTCGGTATGGCTGGATATTATAGAAAATTTTGCCCAAACATTTCAACAACAAACGGACCGTTGACCAATTTGCTACGGAAAAATGTCAATTTTACTTGGACAACCTCCTGCCAGAACGCTTTTGACCAACTAAAAGCCCTATTACAACATTCCCCGGTTTTGTCCGCTCCAGATTTTCAACGCCCCTTCAAACTTGCTGTCGATGCAAGTGATGTTGCAGCAGGAGCAGTTTTGTTACAGGAAGACAATGATGGTGTCGATCACCGGGTATGTTATTTTTCAAGAAAATTTAATACTCATCAACAAAATTACTCCAAAATTACTCAAAATTACATCAACAAAATTACTCATCAACTATTGAAAGGAATGTTTAGCTCTAGTCTTGGCCCTACAACACTTTGATGTCTATGTTTCTTCATGTGGAAATCCTCTCGAAGTTTTTAGTGATCACAACCTTCTCGTTTTCATCAGTAAAATGAAGAACAAGAAACAACGTTTGCTCCGTTGGAGTCTATTATTATCTGAAGTTAACCTTGTTATCAAACACCTTAAAGTTAGAGACAACCTTATCGCTGATTGTCTCTCACGACCTTAGAACATTATTATCTTAAAGAAGGCTTTTCAATCTTTCTTTTTTTTTAAGGGGAAGGGTGTTACATGATAATACATAATCAGGTAAATTATACTTATTATTGTTATATACTTAAATATATTATTAGTTAACTAGTTAGTGATCTTTGTAAAATGCCTTACTCATACATGCAGCATGTGTATGATAACCACAATAACAGGAAAAGCTTACGTATAGGACGTGGTCAACCTACTGACCACAGACAACGTACAGGATACATGGTTAATCAACTGACCACAGGTTACGCACAAGCGGTTAATCGTACGTCATTGTTCAATCACATATAAGCCGAGAATCGAAAGCTGTAGCTATGTTGGTGCTTAGTAGAAGTCCACATCAGAAGAAAGCCTCATGTAAAAGAAAACGAACTATTTACGAAGATAACCAAAGAATCCAGATATATATCCAATCCATCAACGAAAGAGTCACTGAAAGTCTGAAAGCAGTTGTCTTAGACAAGTTTGAACATTTACACATTTATATTATAACGATTATATCAAAATTATTAGTATATTAAATAAATATCTTAAGAATTGACAAAAACTTCTCCACAAGGTTTTACTCCTTTTGTTACGAGCAATTGAACCAAAAGCGGCCATTTTATTATTAGTCGGGACGTTCGTAACAATAGAGTGAGTTAATAATCCTTGATGAATCGGTTTGGAAGAGAAAAGTTTCTGTTTCTTAGATTGTCGATACTTTATCTTTGATGCCATACGTATTAAAGCTGTTTTGGATATAAAGACGAGATGTTGAAATATTCAAGAAGCAATTTAAATGTTCGGTTGTGCAATCCCTTGACGGCTGCACGCAATTAAAAGTTTTTGCATAACACTGATTCCCCTTTTTAGCAATTTTATTTAATATCCACTATATTTTTTTGGATTCTACCAGATCATTGTTATACGTATTGAATTTTGTACGTAACTTACCTCACCTCACTATGCAAAGGAAACTTCATTTAAGATTTGTGCGTAATTGTTTGTACTAAACACTTGACAACCTTTTACATTGAATACAGACTGAGCATATATGAGGGCGCCTGTCCAAGATGGAATGGTATTTTTTACAATAACTGTAAAAATAATATGAAATAAATAACTCTTCTTTGAATATAATTAAATTATATGACTCGCTTATAAATGCGCAGTTTCATATATTTTTCATTTCATGCCGAAAAGTGAACTTATTTTAAGTCAACTGTTTGAGGTGGACGTGTTTGTTTTATCAAAGGAAATTTTCTTTGAGCACTAAAATTTGTGCAATTTATAAGAAAAAAGCTTACTCAGTTTAGTTTACTATTTCCTTTACATTGTGACTAAACAACAGTGCACTTTGTTGAACTTGACTAAGCAATCTTAATATGTATATTGATGTGCGAAAAAGAATATTTAGTACAGGCAAGCAACATTTGAAAATAATAGTTGCAAAACATAGATTAAAAATTCATGTTTGTCCCAACAAATTGGAAACAAAGCAATAACCTTACAAAGAAAATGATGGTATATATATACCATTGTGAAGATAAGTAAAATATAGCCAAAACAACCCACAAGAACAAAGCCGTCAATGGCCTACAATTCAACACAAGCAGAACGCAAGCAACTAACAAAATAAAGGAAAAAACGGCATCCATTACATTAAGGCTGCGTTTCAACCATACCCGATTTGCTTAAAGGTTTAACTGTTCGGAATAGAAGCTTACAAAGCTGATGTATTTAGTCTATTTGATTGTGTTCCTGACGTTGAACAATTTCACTGCCTTTAAATACAAAGAATATTCAACCTGCTGCGATAGGAATCCGGAATAGTGTAAAAGAGGCCTAAACATTAGTGATACAAGACCGTTTTTATACAAGAATCATAAAGCCTTGTAAATATAGCATATTGTAAAACAAATATTTTGATATATAAATCACAGTACAAAGATAACTGAAGGCTTACAAAATAAGACTACTTAACAACATAACTAAACCCAAATTAAACAACAAATCACGTAAATAGCAATAAAACCTGAAAACTCATTCCAGCGATACTTACAAAATCAAAGCTAAGACAGATATAAGACATATACAATCCAAAGAAAACAATTGAATGCTGACGAAGGAAGACACGAATATGCAAGGAATAATCATGCAGTAGTACAAGAAATATAGGAAAGCTGAGAAGAAACTAACTAACACAGAGAACATCACTGAAAACTGAAACGAATATCGAATGATCGTTGCTTTACAAACTATAATAATTTAATTATTATTCAAAAATACGTGAAGTAAAGAAATGCATGCATAAACCACAAAGTAAGATTAAAGTACAAGGACACGAGGACCATTGCCTTTGTATATTTGGACTGTAATTAAAAATTGAAGCCAGAAAGGAATCATCTTGTGCTTTCTTTAATGATAACTATTGTATGCAAAATCTGAACTTAAGCTTATTTGCTAAAGCATCACATGCCATAATCTCAGTTGTCGGGTAAAAAACTTTCATCAAAAGAGCTTCTAAGAAAGAATGACAAAGCACTTATATTACAATTAAAGGAAGAATGGTTGAAGTGGAAAATACTCATTTGCAATTATGTGTATGTAAATCCTTACTTTCCCATCGACAGATTCATAATCCATGCACACAGATTATAATTGAAAAGAATGCAACTATTGAATAGAGATTACAGCGGTCAAACTCTTTTCCCAGCATTTTTAGTTTTTGTCTTGATATTTCCTTTTGAAAGCAAGTCTCTCAAATTAAGAAAGATACACGAATCGCTAAGGAGTGAAATAGTTTTCTTGTGCTTGTTATTCGGACAGCGTTTTAATAATTTGAAATTGCATAGTTTACGCAATACTTGTTTTTACTTCGTTTAATCTACATATTCTGAATAACTTTATTAAATATTCTTTTCATATTTTAAACAATAGCATATGCACACTTCTGATCTTTTCTTATGCAAATTGTTGTTTTTTCAGTTTGCAAAACGCACTTAAATGTATTATTACTTTTTATGTTTTTAATGAACAGATTCTGTATTCCTATTTATATTTTCAGTTTTACTTTAGTCATGCTTTAGGTCAGCATAAAGAAGAATAGTTTATCAACATTTTTGTGAATGTACTCTATGTGACAAATGTATTGTAAGTCCAATGACAATGGTTGCAAACAAAAAATACAGTTGGCTTCAATAAAAGGTATTCTAATTTAAAATAGGTTTGTCATTACCATGCAAACAATAACATTCGCACAGTATATAAGCATATGCATTATAGCTAACCAGTTGTTATTTAGTTTTGGTTTGAGTGTTTGAGGCTTTATGGCTTCATCCAGTTTCTTAGGCTAGACATTTTTCCATATTACTTGCTATGTGAAAGGTTTCCGTTATCTGATTTCGTGAAAATGCGTTTCTTGTGTGCTATATCAAAGACTTTGGTAGTTTAATTGAGGAAAGGCCTTCGTTGCTTCGGTGGCGAGAAGCTTTAGTGCTTTCATAGTTGAACTATATATGGTGCTTTTTAACGAGGCCTGCCTGTGCTTAGAACACGTTAAAGCTTTTAGTAATTAGTCATACTCTTAGTTTGTAAGTTATTTAGATTTCATGGTAATTTAGCTACCATGGTTGTTAAAGACTTAATTTTGTTAAAGCATTGTGGTTAGTTTTATTTCCAATGCTTCAACTTGTGTGTATTTCAGGCCTTTATTATCAAGGTTTAATTGCTGTTTCTTACGCGATGTCAAGGTATTTTAGTGCAATATTTGTGAAATAGTAGCAGTTTGTGCAAATGGTTTCTTAATCATATATATACATGGTATTACAGCTATATTACGTGGAGTGAATTTAGCTTCCTCGAATTGTGAACTTTGTATTCTTGACTTGCAAATAAGCCATGTTTGTGGTTTGGGACAAAAGAATATTTCCTCTATGTGTTAATAGTTGGCAGCAGATTGAGAGGCGAGCAACTTAATTTGTTAAATCTCAAGAAAATGGTTGCAAGTGAAGAATTTTTGGTTGAAGAGGTAGTTTGCTTGAATTGAAAAGTTGAAGAACGAATTTGAATATATTTACAGCTTGTAAGATTCAAATTATTTCATATCGTGGCTAAAAGAAAAGTCACTCGTCTTTAAAAACTTCTATTTTTGGCCAGGCAAAAAAACTGGCAGAAGGGCTAACCTTTGTGGAAGGGCACATTTGTGAAATATACTTAAAATTCTTTGATAGTGATAAATAGCAAAGAGATGCTATTTGCAATAAACAAGCACATGTTGGCAGTGTTCATCGATTACTCCCAACCTTAATAACTATCAAACTATGTAGCATCACTAATTTACAATTTGTTATGTATTGTATTTTTTAAAGTGCTTAATTTTTCTGTCACTTCTTTTTGAAAAGAATTTGGCAATTACATCTATTTTGGGCATATAAGCGTGTTGTTTCTCAATGTTGGCGAACATATTTAGATGAATTTCTTAAGTGTTTGACAGCCCCCAATTTTGCGACGACCATTTACGCTAAATGTTCGTTTGCACGGGTAAGATAAGAGTTTCAGTGGCACTGTGTAGTATAGCATAATTGAGCACCTTGTCTTCGCTGATGGCATAATATTAAATATCATATATAGAGTAGTTTCAGCTGTAACATAATTTGGTTAGTTTATATCAAGTGATGGATGCTAATAAGTACCAACATTTTCGTTCGATTTAAAGAGTTATTATCCAAGTCATTAATATTTGCAAATTAAATTACTACGATTACGTCATAAACATGACAACATAAAAGTTGGTGATGACGTTATAATAAAGTAATCTCTGCCTTGCGATATACATTACCATATTGTAGGAATATTTTACATATACTCCAAAATGAGCATTTCTTCATTAATTACTTTCATTTTAACTGATGAAACATATGACTTTACAAACATATGATGAAAAGTTCTCGTCTTGCACGAATAGTTTGAAAGCTATTACGTTTTTTCTTCCAATTCTCAACATTTAAAGAAACATGAATTTTCTTTGAAATCTTAGCATCATTGCAATGCTCTATCTTGCACTGAAAATTATAACAATCATAATTTGCATTGCAACAACAAACAAACAAACAGCGAATATATGACTAAAGTGTAGATCTTTTACATGTCAGCAAATTTTATAAAGTACCTATTACATAACAGCAAAGTTATTTACATAATAAAACGTTTTATTTCCAGAAGTAAAACTATTTATTAACTTTGTGCTAAAGTCGACAGTCCAATAAATTTAATGTTAATTTGTAGAGCTTGAAATCAATCAAATCGCATTGCTCTTGAAGCTTTTTCCTCAAAAATATATAACCTGATTTTGATTGACTGCGAAATATCTCATCAATTTTCCTGATACTGTTGCCATATGCTCCTTTGCTTGTTCTAAAAAGGGCATTTATTAAAGCATAAACAGAACAATTTTGCGTTCTTTAGATTTCATCGTAGAGCTTATCAAGTTTTTTGCGTATGGATTCAGATTTCACAATATTCAGCGAAACTCTTGCCACTGTTGCCAAATTATTGTCATATGGTTAGAATAGCGACTTTCGATTCGCTGGCAACACTTGACTGTTGCAAGCCATGCTAAATTTAGCAACAAAAAGATTGTTGACTGTTGCTTGAAAATCGTTTTTGCAGATCTACGAACTCCTTCCGAAACCTAAAAAGTTGTTCGGTATACAATCGCACAAACCTCGTAAAATAATTAACCTATGCGGGCTCTTCCCCATAGCTAACACAAAGAATATACAATTTACATGTACTTGGAGTCGCGTTCAATTTATTCTTTGTTTAAGTAACTACGAAGATTATTTTAAAGCAGAATATATATTTAAAATGGCAGAAACATGATTACTGCTTTCTGAGCTAAGCGTATATAATGCCTAAAAATGTCCTAAATATAAAATGTAACAAAGATTGATCAATCTTTCTTATATATATAAGAAAAGCTTACCTCCAAAATACTCTTTATAACACGCTCATAATATTCAAAAATTTCCTACGGCTCACAACCTAAACATGTTGTTAGAAAGAGCTCTTGTAACTCATTACTTATCACTTGGAATTGCAATCATCAAACATTTCAAACAAGGCACTATGGTTTTTTTACTGTTCCAAGAATTGTTCAGACATTCTGCCATGTTCGTCAGATTACCTATAAAACACAGGTTAAACCTCTGATGTATCTAAATTACCCCAATATAATTACAGATGACTTTAGATTAAATATACAATTGTAAGTTCTTTGAAAGAAGTCTATTATCAGTAAAAGTTCAATTAATAGAAATTCAAAACAAACAGTGCTTTTCTAAAATATATTAATTTAAAATCGAGAAGGTACAATTTCTTTTAAAGAATACGGAATCAGCTATTGAATCAAGATTATTTAGAATTAGTATAGAATGCAATTAAGAAAATCTTTATTTTGTGGCTAACATAAAATTTGAAATTGTGTGGTGGTTTTTTACCTTGAGCAAAGCTTTAGCACATTGGTTTGCATTTCTTTTTAGCTCTTGTACGTTTGTTTTGCTTTGGTTCTCGCCGATTTCCCATCGTGCTATTTATTACATGCTAAAAATATCAAAAAACTGACCACGATATTCAAATTATTATTTCAATTTGAATGAATGAAAATGAAATGAATGAAAATCTTTATTTTGACACGCTGGCCTTGTCAACTGGGGTTGATTTCCACAAGGGGCGTGCTTTTGTTCAAAAACAATTACAAAATTTACTAAGAAATAAATTATCTACAGAAGAGAAGTTTAAATATTTAGAGAGTTTAGTTTATTCCATCAGTTACATAATAAACTAAATCATAAAATGCAAGCAGCAATTTTCTTTTGAAAAAGTGACACGCTTTCGCTATTTCTGATTTCTGCTGGAATTGAATTCCAAACAGAAGCCCCATCATACGCGAAGCTTTTCTTCAAGGAGTTAGTACTAGGCATAGGAACATTTAGACAACTTGTAATATTGCGTAGATTGTAATCAGTGATGTCTTTTTTATAGGTAAACAATCTAGTAAGTGAATTTGGTCCAGCATTTTTTAATAATTTAAACATCAGCTTTGCTTTAGCTTTTTTTCTAAGTATTTCAAGAGGTTCCCACTTCAATTCTTGTATTGCGTTACAATAATCGACATCAATGCCCATGCTTATGATAATTTTGCAGCTCTATTTTGAAGTTTTTAGTCTTTTGGACTGAGTTTCCCCAATACACCCAAACTTCACAGCAATATGTGAAGTAAGGATGTACCAGGGCATTATAAATAGAGATAAGTGTTTGTTTGTCTGTGTATTGCTTTAATTTTCTAAGGGCGGAGATACCGTCTGTTACTTTTTTGCAAATTTTATCAGTGTTACTCCTCCAAGATAAGTGTTGGTCAATTATTAAACCCAAACTTTCGTACTCATAAATTCTATTTATAACGTAATTGCCAATTGCAATATACAAATTAGAAGTAAAAACATTCTTGATCATTTGTTTCGAGCCTATGATCAAATATTCTGTCTTGGTTGAATTCAAACTAAGTTTGTTTGCTATCAACCACTTTTCAAGATTATTCAAGTCAGAGTTTACTGTCTTTTCTAGTTCAACTATATCATTATTTGAGGCAGTTATGCTAGTATCATCAACAAACATTTTTGGTTTACATTGCTCTAAGCATGAGGGTAAGTCATTTATATATATTAAGAAAAATAACGGACCTAGAATAGAGCCCTGGGGAACTCCACAGGAGAGGAGGAGTTGTTGGGATGAAATAAAATTTTGATTTGGCATCTTTGAGTTCGCTTTGACAGATAGGATTCAATTAGGTTGTAGGCTAGTCCTTTAATTCCATACAACTCAAGTTTTCTTAATAAAATTTTGTGGTCAACAGTATCAAAAGCCTTTTTTAGATCAATTTGGACTACAAGGTTGAGCAACCTTTATCCATGTTTGTGTACCAATCATTTGTAAAGTCAATTAAGGCAGTTGTTGTTGAATGTGATTTTCTGAAACCAAATTGACAATCACATAGGATTTCAGATTTAGAAAAGTAGTTGTAGAGTTGATCGTAAAGTATACGTTCAATGATTTTACTGAAGACTGGAAGAATTGAAATTGGTCTATAGTTTCCATGCAAGTTACGGTGTCCATTTTTGTAAAGAGGTATAATTCTTGCTGTTTTCCATTCATCTGAGAAGACTGACAAAGTTATGCACTTATTGAAAATATAGGTTAATGTTTCAGATATGACAGGTGCAGCTAGTTTTAAAATTTTATATGATATTCCATCACAACCTGTTGCCTTATTTGCAGAAAGTCCACAAATGAGATGGTACACATTATGGACAGTAGTTGGCCGAAAGGCAGCAAACTCTGATTTAGTTGTATTTATATAATTTTCAAAATTAGTTTTTGTGTTGTCTATTTCTTCAGCAAGTTTCGGGCCAATATTAGAAAAATATGTATTAAGGCCCTCTGCCATGCATTCTGAGGTTGAATTTGAGCAAGAAAATGTTAATACAACCTGCAAAATATTTTTGCCACCGTAGATGGTGTTTTTGTATAGTAAATTGATGTTGAGAATTGAGTCCTTGAATATTGAAACTGAGGGATTGTATCTAGAGTCATTTGAACAGTGTGTTGAAATTTGTGTCCTTATATATTTTAACTTTCTTCCATTAATTCCTCTGGGATATTTTTATATATGCATCATTTCAAGTGCAAGATTATTTGTCCCTGTTAACCGTAACGTCTGGTAAACAGATCCAACTGAGTTCAAGGCGGTATGACTGTAACTTGTTACTCAAAATAACGTTCAGACCATAGAACTTTAACTACAGACTGGAGATATTACTCCAATGATAAAGATATATGACGTCTATAGAGTGATTTATTGCAAGTATAAAACACGGGTGTTCTATGCGTGGATTGTCACGAATATAGTAAACACAACCTATACATGGCAATGATTTCTCAATATGTTGTGGGCATTTTATGTTTGAAAGGTCGTGATTTTAAACTTACACGATTATTGATTAAAAGAAATTTTAATAACACATTAATATTTCTAAAAATAAGCTGTGACAAAGGGAATAAGGCAACGAGCACTCATTTAGGGATGCTTACCTTTGTTGTTTTAAGTCTGCAAAATGTTTATATGTGTTATTTGGCATATAACCTATGAAATAGATCAAATAGATCATACCGCAGAAGATCTCGCGGCCTCAAAATTCGTCACCTTGTGAAGAGAGCATACAGTTTGTTTTCCTTATTTGCATCTAAGGTCTGTCCAATATTGGCAACAAATAAAGTCGAGCATAAATAAGCATCGCTCTCCATCATGGTCAGTGATCTTATAGAGTACGTCGATTAATAACTTGATTAGAACTGCGTAAATGCCAGAATCATACCTACAAAAAAGCTTAAGTGTTTGCTTCAAAAGATAGAATTCCAGGTGTTTACATGTTCAGTTGATTTAAAATGGTAACAACCCACGCGCTCAAAGCAATGTACAAAAACGAAATGGTTGCCAAGTGTGTGAGAGGTAGACATGACTGCATGCATCTTCATCGCTCGTAGATTTTTTGCATCGATGCTAAAACTTCAAAGCAACTGATAAATTTATGCAAATACATCTCAACATCCTTATCTTTCGATGCTTGTTCATCTTATTCAACATTCCAAGCTTTCAAATTTTAGAGCGACTTTTTCTTAGTATTAGTCCAATTTCAACATATGCGAAGATCATTACGATAGTAGGTATAAAAAACTCCATAATGGTGTAGACTGTGAAGTAGGCTAGCTCATATATTTTGATGGTTATAAGTCTATGAACATCGGATCTCCATTTTGATCAAACTAAATCAGAAAAATAAATGACGTAAGTGTTCATAAAAAGTTGTTGCCCATAACAGAATCATCTGCATCTAGGATAATGACACCATCGTATTATAAAAGTCCGGATGACTTTTTCTTACAAATAAAATACATACAACAGTGGAATTGCCGCCAAGGCCCATGACGAAAACGATTGCATGTATTATAAACTTGGTTAGTAGAAAGTTTATATTCTCCAGTCCATAATCGTTGCTTGAATTTGTGTGATTTCAAATATATCCAGATGTTTGGGTCGTAGAATTATTACACTTCGCAATTGAAAAGTAATTCGAAATTATTTAGTTAAGTAATATCTGAAGCTGTGAAATAAAGTCAACATGAAGACAATTAGCTCCTATTATAGTCGTCGATGATTAAGGTTGCATCTGCAAGAACGACGCTCTCAATACGAGACGTTGCGCTCATAAAACATGATTTATAGCCCTTAGAATATACACTGTTTTCAAGATGTTAACGAAGGCTAATAATTACAGCACTCATGAAATATATTTTCCAACGTGAGAACATCACTATCTTGTAAACGTATTCTACGTTCCCACTACGGAGATTTGTTTCCTGTGCCACATATTTGCCATCATTGCAGAAATTTAAAGCCATTTAAACACACTTCTTTGAAATTATCGTTACATGTTGACCAATATGATATATTTCAGAATTACAGATCAATGCAGTGACAACAATTCAATCTTTTAGTTTGAACATGCATATGTTTTTTGTGCTCGTTTGTCATTCACGGTTTCTGTCATTCACGTAGAAAAAGGAAGATTTTTCTACGTGAATGAGACAACCTAAACTTGAAAACACTTTAATGGCTTCGATAACTTTTTTGGGGCATCCTTCGTGTGTTTTTACAAGAATCAATATGTC